AGAAAAACTAGCAAGGAAGGGACCTCGCATGACCGTGGGTCCAAATTTCTGTGGGTGCACCATTTAGAGAACACAGACCATTTAGACGCATAGAGCCTTCTAGTAGAAGCCGCTCTAGCCTGCGTGATCGTGTTTAACACTCCCTCTGGCAAAGCAACGGGTAGTCGTTGATCACCCACGCATGTAGTGCCCAGCGCTCTGGGTGGGGATGCCAGATCGTGCCGCGAGCTTGGGAGAGGAGATCTGTTCTGACTGGAATGGGCCACGGGGCTGTCTGTGACAGCTGAGTGAGCTCCGGAAACCAAGTCTAACCCTCCCAACGCGGGGCTATGAGAAGCACCAAGTGGCGTGTTTCCCTGATTCTCTGAAGCACCTGTGGTAGCAGAGAAACCGGAGGGAATGCATAAAGCGGGCGGCTGGGCCAGGTCTGGGCTAGCGCGTCCTCGCTCTTTGAGAAAAATATTGGGCAGTGGGTGTTCTCTTCTGAGGCGAAGAGGTCCACCTCTGCTCTGCTGAATATTCGCCACAGCTTTTGGACTGTAAGAGTGTGCAGGGACCATTCCCCGGTGGGAATGGGGTTCCTGGACAGACTGTCTGGACCGTCGTTCAGATGACCAGTGCGTCCCTCTGAGCGAGAGCAGGTGACACTGAGACCAAACTAAGATGCGTTTTGTCAGCTGGAAGAGATTCCTGGATCTGACTCCGCCCTGACGGTTTAGATAGGAGACCACGGCTATATTGTCCGAACGAAACAGCACGTGGTGACCGTGAATGCGCGGAAGAAAGCGCGTGAGCGCGTTCTCGACCACCAGCATCTCCAAACAGTTTATGTGGAGGAGACTCTCCTGAGCTGACCAGGGGCCGAAGGCCGGTGAGCCCTCGCAGACCGCACCCCAACCCGTGTTGGATGTGACGGCGCGGAAGCAACTTTAGTGGCCTGAAGTCGAGCCCGCAGGGCGAGCTCGGCGTGCTCCAATCCGAGGCAGAGAGCGCAGATGACGTGGCGGTCTCCAGTCTCGAGGAGAGCGCGGCAAGAACCGCAGGAGGATTTACGAGACATCTTTACAAAGACGCTCGGCTCTTTTAGATACAATACAATACAGGAAGCCTTTTTGTAAAAAGGATACAAATCCGTCGGATGGCGATAGCTCGCAGGACGGCTGAAGGTGGTGAAGACGGGCGGCTTCCTCAGTCTCCCAGATGCTCGCTAGAGTTGCCTTTTCGACGACGGTGGCTTCTCTCAGGATCAGCAGATGCGTGTAGCCTCGCTGAAGAGATGAAAATCAGTGTTTACAGCCTGAGAGGCGAATTTATACTCTCTGACCACGCCCGTTTCGGCGGGCTCTGACGCAATGAGAGCATGTCAGACTCTCATTGGCCGAGAGTTCATTCGCGTCTCCTCATAGGCTTAAGCAGTTCTCTGTGAGCGAACCAATGAGCTGCTAGCTAGCCCGCTCATGGTCTGCTGCAGCTGAACTGCGTTGACAATGGATACAAAATTATAGAATAATTTTTTGGCTTCAATTTCTCAGAAAAGATGAATCTTTCCCGTAGCGTAAGCTAGCTTACGCAATACGAGAGAACCTCTCGTAAGAGAACGTATAATACGTAGGCTACACACCCGACACCACTACTAAACCTACCCTAAACCTACCCATGCGTATCATATGCACGTAAAAACTAATTTTCGCGTATAAATTGCACGATAAACAAAATGCGTGCTATAGAGACGCATTAGTGTGATCGGGTTGGCCAACCGCTATCTGAGGAAGTTGGAACTAGCTTGACGGGGAATATCGTTTTTCATTAGTGAAATCCAAGAATCCAGGCTGTCGAAAGCCATGCAGAAAAGGAGCAACAATGTAGGCTACTAAATGTGTTTTTTGTTGATGATTCCATCATTTTTTCCCTCAACAATAAACAAATCCTTTTTTCCTCAACATGGTCTGGAAAAACACGATCCAAGTGGATTTGTTTGAGGAATGTTTCATGAAGCCAGAATGTTACGCTATTGAATAAAACCTTCTGTGTCTCATATCTGTCATTTGTTTGTTATAAAGTAAAAAATCTGGATAATTTGTGCAAAGTTACTTCTATTTAGTAGAATGTGTGTTTGGGGAGCATCAAAATAAAGTGTTGGCATAAAGCAGAGTAGCAGACAGTCTACTAAATGAGAGTTAGTTGACATGTAGTTGCTAAGCATGGTGCAATATGTTGCCATACTTAATAAACCAAAACCTGCATTTCTGTAATTCATTAGATTTACAAATGACATTAACTCATTCTGAAATGTGTTAGACTGTAGGCTACTATAAAAGACCGTTATCATGCACTATTTCTGAGAATTCACTCCCTCACACCCTTTGGCTTTTTATGCAACTGCGTAAAGGTGTGGTACATTATAATAAGATAAAACTCCTTTAAAAACAAAAGAAATAAAGGAATGGTCCCTGCCCCAAAATTAAAATTTAACAGCCTTCGCCATTCAATGTAGCCTTTCTGGCACGCATGAAACACAAAAGGAGAAATGTTGTACTGGTCGCTCTTTTCCATATTACAATTAATAGGGACTGTCTCTTTCAAGCTTCAAAAAAGCACTTTTTTAGTAGTACCATATAAAAACATAGGATTGTATGGTAGCTTCATGTGGAGAACAGGCCTAAATTTAAGGAGTTATTCATTGATGACAACTTCAAGCAGATCGCGCGAGTTACGCTTGAGAGTCAGATCTGATTCATGAACAAATCATTCAGATACGAACCCATGAGCAGTGTCTGGTTTTGCAAACGCTACATTTTTAACACATTTGTATATTAAAAAGGAAGAGTTTTAGTTAGTCTCTTATTGGTCTGATTAAATCAAGCTCTCCATTAACCAAACAATTTGAATTACACATAATAGACGGACCCTTCATATTTAATGGTATTAGTTGATAAGTTAATTGCATTTAATAGATTACACTTTCAATAAAAACAGTGAAACAATGAATCATTTTGTGTAGCAACTGGTTCAATAGATTGTTTCAAAAGTTTCAAAAAGCCTCTTTTCTCCAATCACTAGTTAAGTGGACTTTTATTTTGATAATTTTGTTTCTTTAGCTTTGGTTTTCTATGTTACTGATTATATCCCTGTTAGTTTCTATGGTTACCAATGATTTTCACACCTGTGTCTAGTTTAGTTTTACATATATAGCAGAGTTTCAGTTGTCCCTTGTCGTTTCTTGTCTTTATTTGTATGTGCTTTGTTTATCTCTGCGATCTCCTCAGTAACAAATGACATACTATTTAGAGTGTATCCTGTTTGTGCGAGTTGCTTACCACATCATTTTAGTGTTCAGCGGGCAATATGTATCTGTCTGATCAGAGAAAAGTAAAAAGGATATATAATTAAAAGTAAGAAAAGTAATATCAGACATCCCCTCATCAAGCTGTGGGTTTTGAGTTATCATTCATGTCACTAGCACACATTGTGCAGGATAAGTATGAAGCAGAAGTTCACTAACCCTAATGAGTATTGGTGATGATAACATGTTTTATATCATCTATCAAGAGAAATAAACTGTTCTCTTCTAAACCATTAGATAAAGATCTAAATTATAAGAAAAGATTTAATAAAAAGCAGAGAATTACAGATCTTGGGGCCATGAAGTTTTCATAAGGTTACAAAAACATATACTGTGCACAAAGATAAAGATGACATATGATGCATTATGTGTGTGTGTGGGTGAACATGGGTTCTGGGGAACAGGAGCATTGTTGTGTGTAACTAAATGTCTAGAAAGGTGGGAATTTGATCAGATGTTCAATAAAAAAAATGTGTGTATTGCTAATGCCATTGACGCAAACAGGAAAAGCAACGACGCAGGAAAAACTAAGCATCGACACAAGTAATGTAACAAATAAAGCAGAAGCAACATGTGCGCAAATGTAGAGATATTGTGCATCATTAGTGATTATAAAATGGGGCCTTTTTAGCTCTCTTTGTGTGTTTGTGGAAGATTTCTGGAGAGAGAGAGAGAGAGAGAGAGAGAGAGAGAGAGAGAGAGAGAGAGAGAGAGAGAGAGAGAGAGAGAGAGAGAGAGAGAGCAAGCAGAAACCCTCAGAAGAACACACCTTTTTCTTATAGAAATCCTATATTGAACAAAGCCTTAAAATGCTATTGTGTATTTGGCCCATGGTGTGTTTAGCTTTAGCCTCTGCAAGAAATAATGAATTGAGAATGAGGACTACCCTCAAAACTCTGAATAGTATTGTCCCAGTCTGTTTATTGCTGTAGAGTAAGAATCATGTTGCGGTATCATAAAGGACTGTCTGAAAAATACGGACTTTACAACGTCAGTCAAGGTTGCCAACCGGTCACAACTGAGTGGGCCGTGGGGGATAATAATCATAGAAGAGAATATTATACGCCTACCTGACTCCTGAATCTATAAAGGTGTAGAGCTTTACAGTGGCTAGTCGTGACCAAGATAAGAGTGACGTGGCCGCGGTAGAAACCACCCAGAGGGTGACATCATCCAATATCCAAACACAACCTCTCAGGTTTAAATCCGATACGTTTTTTAACTCGATCTAATAAGTGGTGAACTGCATTATTAGGCAGCTATATATATATATATATATATATATATATATATAAGTTCTGGGCAACGATTAATCGCATCCAAAATAAGTTGTGTTTACATAATATGTGTTGTAGTGTGTAGATTAATTTTGTATATATAAATACACACATGCATGCACTGTATATATTTAAGAAATGTATTTACTGTATATATTTATACATCATTTATATTATATATAAATATTTTATGTATAAATAACACATTTTTCTTAAATATATCTACATGCACGTGTGTGTATTTATATATACAAAATAATTATACACAGTACACACACATAATGTTATGTGACCACAAACTTTTATTTTGGATGCGATTAATTGTTGCCCAGCACTAAAATATATACATCATTTTCATAAAGCGATTGGACACATTGTAGAACTTTTTACCATTTTTTATTAAACAAAAATATCATATCACATGTCATTTAAAGAATGCAGAATGGCACCGGATTGATGTGGGCAGTCATTAGTTGGTAATGACGGATACAGATATGTGCTCATTAACAGCCCAGATCTCCTCTCTAAATAACACATGTTAAAAAGATCGAACATATCCACAGGTTCAATTAATACATGATTCTCGTCGTTTTTAAAAAGGCCATTCAATTTAAAAGTGATCTGATATGCAGGAGTAGAGCAGACGTCCGGGGGTCGGGACGGGGAGCGTGAGGATGTAATGGCAGATGCGTGGCAGGATTCATTTCGCTCCATCTCCAGCCTTCTTTTCTTGCTCAATATCTGTGAACAGATGGAATGAGAGAGGTGCAACAATGAACAAGAGAAGAGAAACAGATGGCCTTCTCAAGCTTCTATCTCAGGGTTTCATAACCCAGGGTTAAACACTGTGGGCTCAGGGTACGTTTACACCTCAACGATGTACTAAAAATGGAAACGTTTTTCCTTTGCGTTTTTTCGCGAACAGGCAACAACATTATCAAAACTATCCGTGCGTGTTATAAAGTCAGAATTGCGAGATATAAAGTCAGAATTGATTGATATAAAGTCGCAATTGCGTGTTGTAAAGTCAAAATTGTGTGAAATAAAGTCGCAATTGCGTGTTATAAAGTCAGAATTGCGAGATATAAAGTCAGATCTGATTGATATAAAGTCGCGGTAACACTTTATTTTAAGGTGCTTGTAATAAGCAGTAATTAACAGTTAATAAGACACTTATAAGACCTTATAAGATGCATATAAGATGCATATAAGCATTAACTAATGATAATAAATAAATTAAATTAAATAATAAATTTCTCAAGTATCAATACATTGCACTTTTAGAACAGCCGAACAAACATAAATGGTAACACAAACTCCCAGTCACTTAAAAATGTACCTTCCCAAGAGGGAGTAGTTTCCCTGATCTCTTCAGAGCCTGGACCTTTAATTAACCCTTATATGAAGTAGGCTAGTTAATGCTTATATGCATCTTATATGCATCTTATAAGGTCTTATAAGTGTCTTATTAACTGTTAATTACTGCTTATTACAAGCACCTTAAAATAAAGTGTTACCAAAGTCGCAATTGCGTGTTATAAAGTCAGAATTGCGTGATATAAAGTCGAAATTGCGTGTTGTAAAGTCAGAATTGTGAGATATAAGCTATTCTGAGAGGAAAAAAGTTAGTCTTTTATTTTTCCTTAGAATTGGCCTGATAACTCTCAATTGCGAGTTTATATCTCACAATTCTAAGAAAAGATGTCAGAATTTAGAAACATAAACTCGCAATTATGTGTTATAAAGTCAGAATTGCGAGATGTAAACTCGCAATTGTGAGAAAAAAAGTCAGAATTGTGAGATAAAAAGTCAAAATTCTCTTTTTTTCTCGCAATTGCGACTATTTCTCAGAATTGCGACTTTATATCTCGCAATTGCGACTTTATTTCTCAGAATTGCGAGTTTATATCTGACAATTCTAAGAAAAGATGTCAGAATTTAGAGACATAAACTCGCAATTATGTGTTATAAAGTCAGAATTGCGAGATGTAAACTCGCAATTGTGAGATAAAAAGTCAAAATTCTGTCTTTTTTTCTTGCAATTGCGACTTTATTTCCCAGAATTGCGACTTTATATCTCGCAATTGCGACTTTATTTCTCAGAATTGCGAGTTTATATCTTGCAATTGCGACTTTATTTCTCAGAATTGCGACTTTATATCTCGCAATTGCGACTTTATTTCTCACAATTCTGACTTCATATCTCGCAATTGTGAGATAAAAAGTCGCTATTATTATTATTATTATTTTTTTATTCAGTGGCGGAAACAAGCTTCCATAGGTACAAGAGAAGACAAGAGGACGTTTTTTAATGGATGTTAATAAAGGACAGGCTTTACTACGCTGAATAAACTGCTTTTGTGAGGAAAAGCTTATCATTTATTGAATTGACAGAACTTCGGCTAATCTTCAATATGTTTGAGCTTAAACATTGGTTTTGGATTGATCTATTTTTAGAGTTTACACCAAAAAAAAAATTGTTTTCTGTGAGAAGTCATTGACAATTGCGCGACAGGTATAATTCAATTTGCAGCACTTCTCATTCATTTCTATGGTATCCGCAAACAGTGATTGACTGTCACGAAACTCAATGACGTCCAGGCTGTAATGTGATTGGTTATCAAGGCGCACGTGATCCAAATTAGCCGTTACGCTTTTTCCAGTGGTAGAGCCAGAGCCATTTGCAGTTTTGTTGCTTACACAGAGACAAAAATGGTACAATTGTCAAAAACTTGCACTTTGAAACCCATTTTCAAAAGTTTGCATTTTCAGGTCCCCCAAAAATGCTGCTGTCATGTAAATAAAAGGCCCAAAAGTTTTCAGTTTATAGTTGAAAACGGTGTTGTGTAAACGGTTAACTCTGGGTTAAAAGGGGCCTTAAATGTAGCATTAAAAAAATCTAAGAGCCATAACCCAGTATCTAATAAAAAATCAAGCGACAAATGCTACATATTCCATATCATGTGGTATTTAAAAAAAAAGTAAGGATTCATTCTGGCCATCTAAAACATTTTGAGAAACAATGTTATAGATCAGGGTTTCCTCGGGACGCTCCTCCCAGAATGAGTTGAATGAGCTGTTTTAGTTCATTATTCATCTAACACTGTTCTGGAGCATGACTTGTATTCCAGCACATTATATGCTGCTTTAAAACAACCTTTATTGTATAAAGCATTATATAAATAAAGGTAACTCGACTAAATCATCATTACAATGCCAGCGCATCCAGATCTGCAAGATATTTTCTTGTTTATTTCTTTCTCTTTTTATGGGGAAACTGTAAATGCAAATTGAGATGTAAATGAATCATAGTCTATATTAAACTACTTCCACTGAATGGGAAAAACAAAGGACGACTTCAGGCACATCATGAAAACAAAACACTGTGGAAACAAATTTAAATGGATCACATGGAAGATATTTACAATTATTAGTAGTAGTTCTCACATTAGCTTTAGACATATTGATCTGAGCATCTTCAGATAACCTTTAGTCTTCTGACAAGCTGTACTGAACACAGATATTGAAGGCCTTTCTTGGAGAAAATAAATGCTTAAATCTACTCAAGAGTCGATCATTACTAAAAGGGTTAGTTCACCCAGAAATGAAAATTCTGTCATTAATTCCTCACCCTCATTATGATCCAAACCTGTAAGACTTTCGTTCATCTCCAAAACACAAATCAAGATATATTAATGAAATCTGAGAGATATATGTCCCTGCTTTGACAGCCATGCACTGACAATTTGACGCTTCAAAAAGTTCGTATAGAACGTAAAGTTAATCATGAATCGAGCGGTTTAGTCCAAATCTTCTGAAGAGACTCTATCGCTTTAAATGATGAACAGATTTAATATAGGCTTTTATTCACATAAACATTCATCAACGCACATAACAGCTGTGGTAAACAGAAGCTCAAGCATGTTCGCTTGACGTGAGAGAACCAACGAGGTTCATTCTCGTGTTACGCAGCACGTTTGAGCTTCAGCAAGAACCAATGAGGTTCATTCTCGTGTTACGCAGCACGTTTGAGCTTCAGCAAGAACCAATGAGGTTCATTCTCCTGTTACGCAGCACGTTTGAGCTTCAGCAAGAACCAATGAGGTTCATTCTCGTGTTACGCAGCACGTTTGAGCTTCAGCAAGAACCAATGAGGTTCATTCATGTGTTACGCAGCACGTTTGAGCTTCAGCAAGAACCAATGAGGTTCATTCTCGTGTTACGCAGCACGTTTGAGCTTTAGCAAGAACCAATGAGGTTCATTCTCATGTTACGCAGCACGTTTGAGCTTCAGCAAGAACCAATGAGGTTCATTCTCGTGTTACGCAGCACGTTTGAGCTTCAGCGAGAACCAATGAGGTTCATTCTCGTGTTACGCAGCACGTTTGAGCTTCAGCAAGAACCAATGAGGTTCATTCTCGTGTTACGCAGCACGTTTGAGCTTCAGCAAGAACCAATGAGGTTCATTCTCGTGTTACGCAGCACGTTTGAGCTTCAGCAAGAACCAATGAGGTTCATTCATGTGTTACGCAGCACGTTTGAGCTTCAGCAAGAACCAATGAGGTTCATTCTCGTGTTACGCAGCACGTTTGAGCTTCAGCAAGAACCAATGAGGTTCATTCTCGTGTTACGCAGCACGTTTGAGCTTCAGCAAGAACCAATGAGGTTCATTCTCATGTTACGCAGCACGTTTGAGCTTCAGCAAGAACCAATGAGGTTCATTCTCGTGTTACGCAGCACGTTTGAGCTTCAGCAAGAACCAATGAGGTTCATTCATGTGTTACGCAGCACGTTTGAGCTTCAGCAAGAACCAATGAGGTTCATTCTCGTGTTACGCAGCACGTTTGAGCTTCAGCAAGAACCAATGAGGTTCATTCTCATGTTACGCAGCACGTTTGAGCTTCAGCAAGAACCAATGAGGTTCATTCTCGTGTTACGCAGCACGTTTGAGCTTCAGCAAGAACCAATGAGGTTCATTCATGTGTTACGCAGCACGTTTGAGCTTCAGCAAGAACCAATGAGGTTCATTCTCGTGTTACGCAGCACGTTTGAGCTTTAGCAAGAACCAATGAGGTTCATTCTCATGTTACGCAGCACGTTTGAGCTTCAGCAAGAACCAATGAGGTTCATTCTCGTGTTACGCAGCACGTTTGAGCTTCAGCGAGAACCAATGAAGTTCATTCTCCTGTTACGCAGCACGTTTGAGCTTCAGCAAGAACCAATGAGGTTCATTCTTGTGTTACGCAGCACGTTTGAGCTTCAGCGAGAACCAATGAGGTTCATTCTCCTGTTACGCAGCACGTTTGAGCTTCAGCAAGAACCAATGAGGTTCATTCTCGTGTAACGCAGCACGTTTGAGCTTCAGCAAGAACCAATGAGGTTCATTCTCATGTTACGCAGCACGTTTGAGCTTCAGCAAGAACCAATGAGGTTCATTCTCATGTTACGCAGCACGTTTGAGCTTCAGCAAGAACCAATGAGGTTCATTCTCATGTTACGCGGCACGTTTGAGCTTTAGCAAGAACCAATGAGGTTCATTCTCGTGTTACGCGGCACGTTTGAGCTTCAGCAAGAACCAATGAGGTTCATTCTCGTGTTACGCAGCACGTTTGAGCTTCAGCAAGAACCAATGAGGTTCATTCTTGTGTTACGCAGCACGTTTGAGCTTCAGCAAGAACCAATGAGGTTCATTCTCATGTTACGCAGCACGTTTGAGCTTCAGCAAGAACCAATGAGGTTCATGCTCGTGTTACGCAGCACGTTTGAGCTTCAGCAAGAACCAGTGAGGTTCATTCTCGTGTTACGCAGCACGTTTGAGCTTCAGCAAGAACCAATGAGGTTCATTCTCGTGTTACGCAGCACGTTTGAGCTTCAGCAAGAACCAATGAGGTTCATTCTCATGTTACGCAGCACGTTTGAGCTTCAGCAAGAACCAATGAGGTTCATTCTCGTGTTACGCAGCACGTTTGAGCTTCAGCAAGAACCAATGAGGTTCATTCATGTGTTACGCAGCACGTTTGAGCTTCAGCAAGAACCAATGAGGTTCATTCTCGTGTTACGCAGCACGTTTGAGCTTCAGCAAGAACCAATGAGGTTCATTCTCATGTTACGCAGCACGTTTGAGCTTCAGCAAGAACCAATGAGGTTCATTCTCGTGTTACGCAGCACGTTTGAGCTTCAGCAAGAACCAATGAGGTTCATTCATGTGTTACGCAGCACGTTTGAGCTTCAGCAAGAACCAATGAGGTTCATTCTCGTGTTACGCAGCACGTTTGAGCTTTAGCAAGAACCAATGAGGTTCATTCTCATGTTACGCAGCACGTTTGAGCTTCAGCAAGAACCAATGAGGTTCATTCTCGTGTTACGCAGCACGTTTGAGCTTCAGCGAGAACCAATGAGGTTCATTCTCCTGTTACGCAGCACGTTTGAGCTTCAGCAAGAACCAATGAGGTTCATTCTTGTGTTACGCAGCACGTTTGAGCTTCAGCGAGAACCAATGAGGTTCATTCTCGTGTTACGCAGCACGTTTGAGCTTCAGCAAGAACCAATGAGGTTCATTCTCATGTTACGCAGCACGTTTGAGCTTCAGCAAGAACCAATGAGGTTCATTCTCATGTTACGCAGCACGTTTGAGCTTCAGCAAGAACCAATGAGGTTCATTCTCATGTTACGCAGCACGTTTGAGCTTCAGCAAGAACCAATGAGGTTCATTCTCATGTTACGCAGCACGTTTGAGCTTCAGCAAGAACCAATGAGGTTCATTCTCATGTTACGCGGCACGTTTGAGCTTCAGCAAGAACCAATGAGGTTCATTCTCGTGTTACGCGGCACGTTTGAGCTTCAGCAAGAACCAATGAGGTTCATTCTCGTGTTACGCAGCACGTTTGAGCTTCAGCAAGAACCAATGAGGTTCATTCTTGTGTTACGCAGCACGTTTGAGCTTCAGCAAGAACCAATGAGGTTCATTCTCATGTTACGCAGCACGTTTGAGCTTCAGCAAGAACCAATGAGGTTCATGCTCGTGTTACGCAGCACGTTTGAGCTTCAGCAAGAACCAATGAGGTTCATTCTCATGTTACGCAGCACGTTTGAGCTTCAGCAAGAACCAATGAGGTTCATTCTCATGTTACGCAGCACGTTTGAGCTTCAGCAAGAACCAATGAGGTTCATTCTCATGTTACGCAGCACGTTTGAGCTTCAGCAAGAACCAATGAGGTTCATTCTCGTGTTACGCAGCACGTTTGAGCTTCAGCGAGAACCAATGAGGTTCATTCTCGTGTTACGCATCACGTTTGAGCTTCAGCAAGAGCCAATAAGGTTCATTCTCGTGTTACGCAGCACGTTTGAGCTTCAGCAAGAGCCAATAAGGTTCATTCTCGTGTTACGCAGCACGTTTGAGCTTCAGCAAGAACCAATGAGGTTCATTCTCATGTTACACAGCACGTTTGAGCTTCTGCAAGAACCAATGAGGTTTATTCTCGTGTTACGCAGCACGTTTGAGCTTCAGCAAGAACCAATGAGGTTCATTCTCATCATACGCAGCACGTTTGAGCTTCAGCAAGAACCAATGAGGTTCATTCTCGTGTTACGCAGCACGTTTGAGCTTCAGCAAGAACCAATGAGGTTCATTCTCATCATACGCAGCACGTTTGAGCTTCAGCAAGAACCAATGAGGTTCATTCTCATCATACGCAGCACGTTTGAGCTTCAGCAAGAACCAATGAGGTTCATTCTCGTGTTACGCAGCACGTTTGAGCTTCAGCAAGAACCAATGAGGTTCATTCTCGTGTTACGCAGCACGTTTGAGCTTTAGCAAGAACCAATGAGGTTCATTCTCATGTGTTACGCAGCACGTTTGAGCTTCAGCAAGAGGTTGTTTTTTTTTTGCGTGTCAAGCAAGTACGGTTGAGCTTCTGTTTATGTTCGCAGATTAATTTTTGTGAATAAAAGCCTAAATTAAATCTGTTCATCATATAAAGTGATCGTGTCTCAACCTCTCAATTCACGTGGATTAGTTTTACGATCTCTTTATTAACTTTTTGAAGTGTCAAAGTGGTAGTTGCGTAGCTGACAACGGACTTGAATTGACTTTATTAGTTGATGAAGTTATTCATTCAAGTTGAACGAAAGTCTTATGGGTTTGGAACAACATGAGGGTGAGTAATTAATGACATCATTTTAATTTTTGGGTGAACTATCCCTTTAAGTGTGCACTTCCGAGATCTCATCTTCTAATTCCCTGCCGTATGCAGTTACATTTTATACCTGTGAGGAGGGGTGTTACATCAATATTCATTAATGAAAATGAAGATTAAAGTCCATAACAAGCTTTTGTAAATCTGGCTGCTGGTGGTAATCACTGGAGTCCCTCAACAGCCACTCCTTTCTATCTTGTACTCTTCAGCTCAGCTCTTATCTCAGCAGAATTCCTCTATGTGTATATGCTTGTAATGTTTGCTTTATCGTGTCAGATCTGCACAAGACTGTGCAAGGGTGAGCTGGGATCTGGAACAATGAATCATGAGGGCGAGGCTACCAAACCCGCTTACCTTCTTGAGTCGGCAGGGTGTTCTTCTCCGCTGTGTTTGTCTTTTTTAGACATCTCTTGTCAAATTTCTGCACTTCGTCATTAACGGGGTTGTTGTCACTCATTTTGAAGAGTCTGTGAAAATCCAAGCAATTGAATATGTTTTAGACAGCTTCAGTCTCTACATGCAATGTCTGCTTAATCTTTTCCTAATTAGTCATTAAAAATAGCTGTTCGCGAATCAAAACTTTCTTTACACAAATTATTCGACTTATTGACATTCTAATGCTTTGGTCAAACCAAATGTGTGTTTGGACAGTATTTGTGTTTCTTTTGCTGTTGCCAAATATAGCCAGCAAGATAACGGCATCTAAACCGTGGTTAAACCACATTTTTGAAAAGCAGAAGTGGCATTTTTAACCACCCAAGAGCTATTTCCTCAAAGGTGTAAGTTTCCCTGACTTTGTAAGGACACGTCGACGTGCCCCACCCGCCCCTCAGGTGTGTGTACAAAACCCAGGTTACACAACCCCTTATTAGCAACCCCTTACATCAAATCTAACTGCGCTTGCGCATGTATGTTTAACAGATAAGGTCAGTAAAATGGTAAAGCAACAGAAAGATCTGCACAACAGCAGGAAGTGATTTTACAAAATCACTCAAGTAGACTTTTTAAAGTAATCCTACTTTGTTCCCATATGGTTTTCCATGGCATAAAATATATTTTGCTAAGCATTGCAAAATTATCTAAATCAAATGGTTTTATTCAAGCTATTACCTAATTTGACTGAATAATTTCGTTTTAAGGGCCAGATCATATCCACTTTTTAGTCTTAATTTAAAGTCAGATCTCTCCAAAAAGACAGATAGGCCTATATATGCACAATGGACACCGTAACCCTGAAAACATATTGGTTTAACTAATCAAGCCCTTTTATTCGTGCGTTGAAGACTTCGATGTTCCCTCTTAATGTTCTTATTTGCAGATGACATACAGTGTTATTTGAACAACATCAGAACTTTTCAAAGCAGATACACACACACACACGTAAATGAACAAGAAGGTGTGATCATGATCACTGCATGAACCTATGATCACGTTAAAATCCTCATGTCTTCACCACACCCAATCTGACACGGCGCCAAATCTAGTCTCAGGGATTTTGCAACACTTCCAAATACTGCAAAATGTTCCAAACGTTCCAGGTGACGTTGTACTGCAACTGGTTTGAATGCGCCATGAGAATTCATGACAGACTGCGCAAAGCAAAGGCATACGCACCTTTTCTACACCGCAAAATGCTCGATATTACAAACTAGTAAGCTTAATAATTAAACTGCAAGCGCACACGCACACACTACGCATTCTCGTTCACAAGTGCACAAGCATATGCTGCACTTCCTTGAATTTTCTTTGCACTTTTGAGTTCCCTTCATATTATTACTATACATATTAAATGCATATATAATGTAAACGTATATTATTTCATAATTGCATGTTTACAATTGAATAATGTACTATACACTTTTAAAGAGACACGTACGTCCGTGGTAATATCTGGATGTTATGCGAAAAACTATGATAATGGTATAACACCGCAGTCTCTTTCTCAGATTAAGTAAAGATATAATTCGAGAGCCTTACCTGGTGCTGGCCTCGGAGCTGTGGTACACAAAATATCTCAAACAGAATCTCTGTGCAGGGCTCAAGGTGGGAAACTGGTTTAAATAGCCATCACATCCCGTTGCACAACAGCGGGCGTGTAATCCGCTCGCTCTGATTGGCCCAATCTCTCACTACTGTGTTCTGATTGGATAAATCTGCAGCGTTTCTGCATTTTGATTGGATAATCCTGCAGCGCAGTGAAGTAACGGTAAATCGATTGTACAGTGAGTGAAAGTGAAACACAGTGAACGTGTTTCTAGAGAAGAGACACCTCGAATCAAAATACTGCATCTTAACCAGACGTTTCTATGGAAGCTTTTTTCCACCACTGAATAAAAAATAAAAAAAGGTAATTACGACTTTGTATCTCGCAATTCTGACTTTATATTTCGCAATTGCGAGTTTATATGTCGCAATTCAGCCATTGTAACTCGCAGTTGTGGGGAAAAAAGTCATAATTGCTAAATAAAAATAAAAAATCACAATAATATTTTCAAATGTTTTATGCCGTGGCGGAAACAAGCTTCAACGCTTGTCTACCTCATACACAGTAAAGGTCTACTGAGAGAGAGGCAGTGAACGCGCCAGCAGCGCCATCTTGTGGCCGTTAACATCTTCAGGTCCTGATGCAAAATTTTATAATTTTATACTTTTTTAACCAATTCTAAGGGGAACAAACTAGAATGCTCTTTAAATTAAAATAAAAACTCCTAATGGATAAAATACAGTACTTTACGTTTCTCTTAAATAATAATAATATATTTTATTTGTAATGCGCTTTTCTTAAACCCAAAGCGCTACAGTAAAACAAACAGAAACAACAAGGGCAATACAACAATTAAAGAAAAACAGCCTTAAATAAATGTGTCTTAATCAAATTTTTAAAGTGTCCCAGTGTTGGTGCATTTCTGATTGGAGGAACGGAAGCACATTGCATAGCTTGGGGGCTTTGTATGAAAACGCTCTTTCCCCTATGGTCTTAAGCTAACATGAAGGATGTAGTAAAAGGGAATTAGAAGAACGGAGAGAACGTGATGGTGTATAAGGGCTAATGAGATCACTACTCTGGTGCAGTCGCATGTGGGGCCTTGTATGTTAAAATAAGAATTTTAAAATCAATTCTCACATTTCTGGGAAGCCAACGGTGAAAGCACTGGTGTAATGTGTTCACGAGGAGAAGTACGACGAGTAGGCACACGGGCGGCAGAATTTTGAAGATACTGAAGCCTGCTCAGAGATTTAGCTGGAAGGCCAGAGAACAAGGCATAATATAGCCTAGTTGTAATAAAGGCATTGTAAGACTGGAAAAACTAGTTGAGGAACGACCACTCCTCGAGTGGACAAAGGACCTTGCTGCAAATTAACATTTGAACTCCTCATCCTAATCTACATTTCTCCCCCTCATCCTCCACTCTTGCAGAGATCACCCAAACTCACACAAGAATCTAAATGGTTTAATGGGAATAATTATCATCGAGTATTATACATGTTCAGTATCATTTGAAATGTCTCAGGGCGACCGGTACAAAGGTCTCATTTCCAAATAAGTAAAACAATAAGGTTTTTTCAGAGTTTAACACACACAAAGGAAGGTGGTCTCTAGACAAATAGTCCTCTGTTCTCAAAAGGTGTAACCTCTGAATGCAAATTACCATTGTTAGCACATGTGAAAGAAGTTTCTGTCATATAAAGAAATGCAACAAGAGATTCGGGGCCGTCTGTATCTCAGATCAGCCCATGAGTGTTGAGAGCCGCCGGGACTCTCGGCTTCACGTATTTCCTAATGTCGGGTCCGCATCTCTTCTCTTTATTCCAGAGCATTTGATGTTATTGTATTGATTATATTTTGAATTGATTATGAAATTGACATGATACATTTACCTGACGTAATAAATTGTAAACATTTGATTTTATTCTAATCGACTCAGACATTATTTTCAGTAAAGAGTTACACAGATGTCATTAAAACCTTTTCATTTATGGAGTCAGATGAAATAACCAGAAAATACATATGAGAAATGTATTTGATTTAATCAAAATTACTTTGCCACGCGGAAAGACAGTAACACACAGAGACCTTCCCCGCTGATCGGATGCGATCGAGCCGGGCCTTACAGCATTTATAAGCCTTTCTGTGTTTAAGGGATAGTTCACCCAAAAATAAAAATTCTGTCATCATTTACTCACCCTCAAGTTATTCCAAACCTGTATTTTTCTTTCTTTCTCCATACTATGGAAGTCAATGGGGCATATAAACTGTTTGGTTATCCATCTTCTTCAAAATATCTTCTTTTGTGTTCAGCAGATGAAAGAAATTCATCATTTGGAACGACTTGAGGTTGAGTAAATGACAGAATTTGACCCCTTTAAAGGATCCCATATTAGCCTGGGAAAACCCTGACAACTTCCGGCAAATTTAGATTTGCTCTGAAAGTTAGTCTGGCAAAGAGCTCATTCAAGCCCATTTCCAATCCGTCGAAATCGCGGCACCAATCAGAAACGTTGGGGGTTGCTTTACACGATGACGACAGCACTGGGATTTTGAAGCAGATTTTGTAGCCTACATTACAAAGATGGATGCCGCCGTCGAGCATCACTCGTTCCAATCAGCTATCGCGTCTGTTTCAAGTGATTTGAACGTTTCCCTTTTGTTAAAAACCGAGCAAAGAACAACACTCGGAGATGTTTCTGCCATTCTGCATACGTCATCTCCTTCATCGCTCTGATTGGGTGTAGGTCTATCCGCGACGTCCGTTGGTGACGCCCCTCTGGAAATGATTTGTCTATGACGCTTTGCCAGACCATAACTCAGTTACAACTGAGAATGGTCTGGTTTTAACCAGGCTCATCCCATATGGGATTAGTGCCAAATTATGATGTAAATGACAACAGAACAAAATTTTAAGTTTTTGAGCTACATAAAAAGTGAGAAAACCTTTGTCCCAGTTATATCTTCCAATAAAATACCATATTTATCATTATCATTTATTAAAAACATTAAGTACCGTTTCACATGCTCGTGCTGGACAAACAGCATTTGAGGTGTATTCAAGTAAAGAAGGATGTGGGTAATGCTGTGGTCACTAAAACAGGCATTTTCCTTTGGGTTGTTACATATTTCAGTAAAAGAGAACAATTGTACAGCTTTTTTCAATTGCATACGATATACAGTACACACGTCAACTCTCGACGTCTCAAATCTGTGCATCAATCAATACTTCAGTCAGCAGACATGACATCACACACCTCCTGGCCAGTCACAAGTTCAGGACCGCTGAGATTTTTAATGTTTTTAAAAGAAGTCTCTTCTGCTCACCAATGTGCATTTATCTGATTAAAAAAAATAAACAGTAATATTGTTAAATATTATGACAATTTAAAATAACTTTTCTATTTTAATACATTTTAAAATGTAATTTATTCCTGTGATCAAAGCTGAATTTTCAGCATCATTACTCCAGTCTTCAGTGTCACATGATCCTTCAGAAATCACTCTAATATGCTGATTTGATGCTCAAAACACATTCATTGTTATCATTATTAATGTTGAAAACAGTTATTCACATTTTTATTTCAGGATTCTTTGATGAATAGAAAGTTCAAAAGAACAGCATTTATTTGAATTAGAATATTTCGTAACATTATAAATGTCTTTGACTGTAACTTTTGATCAGTTTAATTAACCCTTGATGAATAAAAGTATTGATCCCCCCATACAAATTCTTACTGACCTCAAACTTAAGCTTTCTATTTTAGATAAATGCTGTTCTTTTGAACTTTCTATTCATCAAAGAATCCTGAAATAAAAATGTAAACAACTGTTTTCAACATGAATAATAATAATAAATGTTTCTTGAGCATCAGATCATCATATTAGAGTGATTTCTGAAGGATCATGTGACACTGAAGACTGGAGGAATGATGCTGAAAATCCAGCTTTGATCACAGGAATAAATTACACTTTACTATATATTCACATAGAAAACAGCTGTTTTAAATTGTAATAATATTTCACAATATTAACATTTTTTTGTTGTATTTTTAATCAAATAAATGCAGCCTTGGTGAAAAACATTAGAAATCTTAATAGTGTAGTGTATGTCATCGCTGCAAAACAGCATTGCCGATTAACCTGAGATGCTCTGGGCTTGGGGATCGTCATCTCGAGTGCCTCTCCAGCTGGTCGTATATGGCCGTAGTGATTCCCCAGGTGACGCAGGAGCGGAAGATGACCAAGAATCCTCCGCGGTACAGAAGAGGCAATCTGTGCTGACGTGCCGCCCAGAGACGCTGCCAGCTGGACCTCACTCCTCTTTGTCCTCCTTCTGCTTGCGCTTGCATGTTGGCCACCAGAACAGAAAGAGGGTACAGCGATAGACTGATCACCATTGAGTTTAAAACACCAGCCATGAAAGAAGATGCAACCGGGGAACATCCGTTATCCCTGAGGGTGTTCGACATGGGGTCCTTCAGGCCAAAATACAGGCTGCTCCCTACGGCGTTACGGACGAGGATAGGCAGAAAGGCTGTGTAGTATCCGGATGCTAGCGGTTTTGAAGCTAGTTTGAGCAATACACTTCGTAAGGTGGGAAGACGACTGTTGTTCCTGCTGTTCTGCAGGACGTTCTGCACGCGCTCGAATGGGGTGAAGAGCAAGGCCTCCACCACACCCACGCCGAAACCTGCCAGGGCGGGGAGAGCGTCCCTGGGAAGAGGAGTCGCGGAGATGAATGAAGGAAGGTGATGAAGGAAGGTGTCCTGGAGGCCGAAGAGAAGCGTCCCGTTAAGGAATCTCATCAGCAGGGGTGGTGCCACTCCACGGTACAGCTTCACCGGACCCTCCTTGAATAACTGGGCCACCGCTTCTCGCACTAAAGTGCTGTGCAGCTGCTGCCGGAAGACGGTCTTGTACAAAGGGAATATGATGACGGTGGTCATGGTGGAGATCAGGCTAGACGTCCCTCCGTGCAAGTAGCTGTGAAACCAGGCCGTGGAGTCGGCAGATTTGAGGACATCGTCCTGGTTGTGATGCGTATTGCTTCCCATCTCCGGTACTGCTGGGGTGAGTGACGAGTCAACCTGCGTCAATACACGTTACATTACAGTAGGAAATACTTTTGGAAAGTAAAAAATGCAGTATCAACCTTTTTTTGTTTGTTGGTAAACTAGTGAACAAAAAGCAACGCAGACACAGCAAAAACCGTGTTAAATGAACTCTCCTGGGGGTTCATATGGCTCCAGACTCAAGAGTGTTAAAGTGTTAAAATATGAGTGTTAAAGTTAATGAGCTAATTAAGTGATTCATTGAGTGATGATTGTCCATTAATGAAGACACCTGACGTTAACAAGCAGAATCAGCAAAGGACAAAATCGATTGTTAAGTCACCATTATTGTGATCAGTGTTTGCTTTAGTTGGGCTCGTGACTCTTAAACTATTAACATTAGATTTTGTTTGGCTGTTGTACCTGAGTTGTAACTGCCAGATGATCAAAGAGAAAAGGTGATCTGATGGTGTTGGTTATGTTTTGACATAATCATCACTTGACCTGTCTAGAGCCATTTAAGAATCCCAGGAGAGTTCATTTAACACTGGAGTTTTTGCTGTGGACATACATTCGGTCACATTAGAATTGTATACAATTCATACATTCTAATTTCTGTTTTTAGCAAGATTTTCGTATGTTACCTTTAATACAGATGAATCTTTTATATAGTAGGGTAGTGGTTGTAACATTGTTGCTGTAACTCGTTGCTGTAAGTCTGTAACTCGCCATTCATCATAAACTTTGAGATAATTTCAATATCGGATTTTGAAATCTACAATGTATCCCTAAACTCTGTAGATTAAGGTTAAGCACAAACAGTGTGTCCCACTACCAGTGAGAGTTGAAACACTATAGAAAAACGAAACATCAGTTTAGTTTATACTAACAAAAATGCTGTCCCAAAAAAAAATGTATAGTGCTTGCAGTGTTGTTGTGATGTCTGTCTGTGTTTCCCCTGTCTTTGTGCACTTGGTTCAGTCCTGTTCCCTGTTTTCCCGCTCCCCGTTATCTCTATTAGTCTTCACAGGTGTCCCCGATTAACCACGCCCCCATTGTCATCTTGTTTAGCTTGTTTGCCCTTGTATTTAAACCCTGTGTTTCAGTCCAGTCCTTGTGAGTTCTTGTGTTGTTACTGTCGATGTTGGTTTTACTGCGCCTGAGTCTTGTTCCTGGTCTGAGTCTTTGTATTGTTTTCAGTTTATGGAATAAAGTGTGCTGCATGTAGTGATGGGCAGATCGAGGCTTCGTGAAGCAATGAAACAGTTGAATCAAATGGTTCATATTGTTTCGAGGCTTCGAATCAATCCGACACCCGTCTCCACGGTGACACCTAGTGGTCACTTGCAGGTGTTGATCTGAAACAACCTTGACAAGCCATGAATTTTTTTTGTTTTTTTTTTGTTTTGTACTTTTCTAATATGTGAATCTTGTAACCTATAGGCTCCTCATTGTGCATAATGTTATTTTGGTCCAATAAATGAATATTAATAAAATAAATCAAGCCACAATGTCTAACTTTTTTACATATTTTTATTTACTTAGCCTACTTCTTTTTTTACAGATAATTTCTCCAGCCTTTGAAAAAATCCTCTCACAAGGGACACTTGTTGCTGGCATGCAAAGATATTTTTTAGCTAATACATACAAATGAGGAAAGATTACTGCTCTCTCTTTCCAGTAAGTTAGTGGATCATGAGTTGTGGGCAAATACGCATCGTTGATGTATTTTTTCACTTCCACTGTGGCATCAGCTGTAGCATTGTTGTGTATCATCTGGGTTTGATGATACGAGTATCAAAAAGTTCCCATAAACTGTCCTGTGTTTCTACTGGATGATGTATTGTTGCAGGCAAGCTGCCGATCACAATACACACATCTCACTTTATTTGGGGTTTCTAAATGGAAATGCTCCCACACCACAGATGTACGGCATCTCTTCTGGGGAGCCTCCATTTTATCTATCTATCCAAATCTATCTAGATATGTATCTCTAATCTATCTATGTAATTAGATATGTATAATATGTATCTATAATCTATCAATGTATTTATATTATGTAGCCTATCTTTAATCTATCTGTATCTATCTATCTATTAATCTAGCTGTCTATATATATATATTTATATCTATGTATCTATTAATGTGTCACTATACTCTGTGTCTCTAGCCTATCAGTCAATGTGTTGTGTACATTTAAGCCTAAATATAACTAAACAAATCGCACTATAAATGTCACTATCACCAAAAATCCGCTATCTCAAAGTCAAACTCCTCTCACAAAAACCCACGAGGTCAATATGCGTTGATTTCACTTTTATACAGATGTGCGATTGTGTGGTCTGTTGTTCCCGACCGTGTCAATCAAACGCTGATTCGGCGGATCACACCTGATGAAACACTTAGTGAAACACTTCGAGGCTTCGTTTGGCCATAGTCACGTGACATGGGTGTTTTGAATCACGCTTCGAATCAGTGTTTCGAAACATCTGCGCTTCGGGATCTCGCAAAGCTTCGGAACGACTGTTTCGCGGCAGCCATCCCTAGCTGCATGTGGATCCTGCTTCCTCCTTGTTTCTACTGCATTGTGACAGATGACTCCGATGCTGACTCCCACGACAAACGTCTTCCACGCTTTCCACGGGTGCTGACAGACACGGGTGATGGACCGGGAGTCAGGGTGGAAGACGCTTGGTCCTCCTGTGTCACGACGGCTAACATGCGACCCTCAGGGATGACTGGAAGTGTGGCAAGAGGTGAAGATCCAGGTCGACCTGGCTGCTCCTTCCGAGACAAGTAGTCCACCATGTTGCGAAACGGACGGCGGACCAAACTCTCTCGTTCAGCAAGGGAAGGGAGGACTTTGAGACCCGTGACGAGGTAGCGGTTGACCAGGGTCTCCGGCAGGAAGAACCTCCTCTCCTCAATGACCTGGGCGTACCTCTTCAGGGTCAACTCACCCTGGGGAGGGAAAGGAAGCTTGCCATTGGAACTGTCAGAGATAGGCGAGCGCCACCACAGTTCCGGGTCAGAAGGCTGAAGACAAGCGGAGACGGACTGAACGTCTGCTGGGTTCGGTTCTGGTCGGTTCATTCTGTTATATGGATGGAAAGGAGAACCCAGGCGCAGACAGCAGATGACTCTCAAAGGATTTATTTAGGACAAAAACAGAAAACAAAACCCATGAGGGGGCAAAACAAGACAGTGTAGAACACACCAGACTATGACTTGAAACTAAGACAGGAACAAAACAAAGACAGGAACAGACACTTCTCAAATAACAGACTTCTCAATGAATTACTTACAGCTAGACTCACACAACGTCAAACAAGCTAAACAAGATGACAAGGGGGCGTGGTTAATCGGGGACACCTGTGAAGACTAATAGAAATAACGGGGAGCGGGAAAACAGAGAACAGGACTGAACCAAGTGCACAAAGACAGGGGGAACACAGACAGACATCACAACAAGTGTGCCATTTGGGACAAGACAAGTCATTACTCACCCTCATGTCGTTGCAAACCCGTAAGACTTTCCTTCATCTTCAAAACACAAATGAAGATATTTTAAGATGTTTTTCATGAAATCTGAGAGATTTCTGTCCCTCCATTGACCGCTACGCAACTACCACTTTGACACTTCAAAAAGTTTATAAGGAGATCGTAAAACTAATCCATATGAATCGAGTGGTTTAGTCCAAATTTTCAGAAGAGACTCGATCGCTTTATATGATGAACAGATTTAATATAGGCTTTTCTTCACACGTAAACATTCATCAACGCACACATCAGCTGTGGTAAACAGAAGCTCAAGCATGTTCGCCTGACGTGGGAGAACCAGTGAGGTTCATTCTCGTGTTAAGCAGAAAGCTCTCAGATTTCATCAAAAAGATCTTCATTTGTTTTGAAGATGAACGAAAGTCTTTCAGGTTTGGAACGACATGAGGGTGAGTAATTAATGACAGATTCTTTTGGGTGAACTAACCCTTCAAGTCCACAAGACTGTAGGGAGTCCCAATTGTCATTTTAGGTTTCAGAAGAGTGCTCACGAATGCCCCTTTTTTTTAGGTCAATATGTGACTTTGACCCGCACTGAAGTGAACTCCTCAGACTTCTACCTGACAGTCAAAGCGGTGTTTACGTCACTAAAGTCTGGACTCGGAGGAAGATTGTGAGGGTTTCGGGGTCCATTTTGGGACAGGGCCCAAATCATAGAGACCCCAAGCTTGGTGGGATGGTCCCAAAAACGTGCACACAGACACACATCCATCCGACACCAAGTAAGATGGCGGTTTGTGTTTTAGATCAAAAGTCTTTTTGCTTTCCTTGAGTCAAGCCCTACAAAGTCAAAGATGTACTTGAATATCTCCAGTTTCATTTCCATCTATACAAATTTTAAGCTGTTTTAAATGTACATTTAAAAAAAAAAAAAAAAATTCGGTAACGCCCGGAAAGTACTGAGTAATTAAAGCAATTTTACAGTGTAACGTTCGGTAATTATAGTATACCTATAACGTACATACAATATAAGTATAATGGAACAATATTTTAAGTTTGGGGAATGAAGGTGTAACAACCAGGAGAATTAAACAATTATTTATACTGTAAGTATTATAGAACTAGGGGGTACTTATTCTACTCTTATGATATAACAATCTTACATTTGGGAGCAATTTAGCAAGAACATACCTTTTTGAAATAATGGTGAACAAGTACATACTGTGTAGGCTTTTTAAAAATTACAGGGTACATATCTATGCATTTACAACGTAATCTTTTCACAAAAGTGCACTGAAAACGAAAACTATTGCAACTTTTGCTTAAATATTGGGGAAAGATACTCTTGTTTCATGTAGTGGTGCTTGTTACCCTCTTGTTCCATGTAGTTACAGGGTAAGTACAATAAAAATGCATACACACAATCTTACATCACTGACTCGGAAACCTTTATTTATTATACAAGCACCACTTACCCTGAAACCACATGAAACCGGATTTATTTCCCAGTATATTTAAAAAAAATTGCAATAGTCTTAGCTTTTCTTGCCTTGAAAGATGTTAGCCCAAACTTAAACATCTGCACTTTTGCTATAAAAAAAAAAAAAATATATATATATATATATATATATATATATATATATTTTTTTTTATAAATGCATAGATATGTACCCTGTCATTTTTAAAAAGCATATACAGTATGTATGCCTTGGTACACAATTATTACAAAAAGGTACGCAGTGTATGTTCTCGCTAAATTGCTCCCAAATGTAAGATTGTTGTATCATATAGTAGAATAAGTACCCCTTAGTTCTATAATACTTACAGTAGAAATATTTTTTTTATTTCTCCTGGTTGTTACCCCTTTATTCCCCAAACTTTACATATTGTTCCCTTATACTAACATGTAAGTACTTTATAGGTACACAATAATTACCGAAAGTTACTCTGTAAATTCCTCTTAATTACACAGTACTTTCCGGGCTGTAATCTAAAGCGTTACCCATTTTTCTTTCTTAGGCCATTGGTCCGATCTTCACCGAATTTTACACACTGCAGCTCGAGACAGTGCTGGCAGGAATTTTGATTCATCGATTTGATTCATGCAAAGATTTTAGCAAACCTTTTTCATCAATTGAACTATATCTCCTGATCGCAACGTCCAAACTTAACAAAACGTGATGCACAGACCGCAGGGCATTCGGAGGATGCACACCAACTCGCATCAAAAGTAAAGCTATAGTGAGTTCAACAACTGAAAATCCCTTATAACACCATAACCACGTGATCGGTGAAGCTGAAAATGGGTGTACATCTTCTCTGCTGGACTAGATGTCCTAACATATCCTCCAATATGATTTAGCTACATAAAACATGGCCGTCAGCAGCCAAGTACACTTCAGTGTCTAATAACCCCAAATCTGAAAGGCCTACCATTACGTGAAAATGAGTATGTATGTGTACAACATTTTGTGCAACCCAGCCACAAGGCTGTGCTACATTAAGCAACCTTACGTTTTATTGCTGATGCAATGGACTACTTGCACTGAGCTTTGTGATGCACTTCTGTTTTGAAATAGTACATCCTACTTATTTTTAGTTGTGTCTAGTTTCAATGTACTGTAGTAATGAAGTTAACTAAACACCACCTAGAATGAGTGTCCGCAAGAAGATTGAAAAATCTGGACATGTTCAGCGACAGGAGAAGAGATATTCTTATGATGTACAGAAGTTTCAACTTGTGGTTTTAGTCCGATCTGAGGAAGCAGTGGGTGTTAAACATACGTGATCATTTCACTGAACTATGATTGTGTGGTTAGTTGCACTTTGTCAATTTATTCTCGTCTAAACTAGTGACCGCGACGCTGAAGTGTGTGAGACCTGATGAATGCAAACGTTCATTTTCGTTGTCAATTATTTTACTGCTTATAATGTACGACGTTTATACCCAAAAAGCTTCATTATATTCAAAGTTGACTGTCATTCTCCTCTATGCTAAGCGGTAGTTTAAGATGAATTAAATATTTAACATCATTACATTTATTTAAAGTTTTTATGTCTATGCTGTGTTTTTAATATGCTTTAAGACACACCATGTGTAAGTTCATAAGTCGACAGCATTGCTGAGTATTTTCTCCTTAAAACTGCAGTGAACCAAAGACAGTCTTAAACACACGGTTTGAAATCGCTGGTGTTTCTGACGTCACAAACGACCTTGTAACCAATCAGATCAATGTGTGATCGTCAACCAGTGGATCTCTGAGCTGAGTGAGTGAGTGGAGGCGGGGCTCATTTGCATATTCATAGAACCGCGCATACTAAATGAGGCAAGGGTGTCGAGTTGCACTCAAGCTATTTTAAGGCATGAAGAAATATATTTTTTTAAGGAAAAAACGTTTAAATATGTAATTTTGGAGATCAAAGGTGAGTTTTAAGGGATACTATTATTGACTACAGGGGGACTTTAAGGCACGTACATTCATTCATTAAACTATTTTAAAAGACTGGAATAAGAGCACCAGCGCGCATTAGCAATCATTTTTATCAGTCAAATTCTTTAAAATTTTAACTCAATAGGTTAGAAATATGATCAGTAAGAGGAAAACACTGTTAATGAGAAGACACTGCTGCAGATTAGTGGGGAAATATATTTAATTTATTATTCAGAATGCACATTTGGAAAGAAAATATATTTATAGGAACATATCAGCAGGTTAGATTAATGATAGATGGAGCCCATAATACTAATGTTGTCCACCAGAGGGAGGTCTCATTGATTAAAATGGGTGTAAACGGTTCAATAGATTAGACTAGTAGTAAACAAGATGCATACATTAATTCTAGCTTATTATACAGTTCAATATAATCAGTTTGCAGTGAAAGCGGTTAGCTATAGATGCTTAAATGTTGCACTATTTTTCTTAAGGTTACTTTAATGGTATCGAAAACGAATGTATTGTTATGTTTAAATTGTGTCATCTTCCCATGAATTGTAGGCTAATAGTGATGATTAAAAAAACAGTAATATATCTTAATGTTCAGAGTGGGTGTAGTCTACTCATTTAATTAAGCTGTTTACTGCACTTAATTCATTAAGCTTTTATTCGAAGCGACTTACATATGAGGATAGCATGTAGTCTAAATGTGCAATAGCTTTAGACAGTATTAACATTGAAATGTACCTTACCTTAGAAAAGGTCTCTTTAAGTTAATGTTTCCTGTAAAACGATACACAAAACAGATTAATTCGTGTGATCTTATATTCAATCTTACTGATAAGAAAATCACAGCTCGGTGTTGTTTATAATAAATATACCGCTATACAGCGATACTTCAGGGGAAATAAAAGTGACAAAAAGGAAATGAAAACAAAATAATCATTTTGAGGATATGTGGAAGGATTACAAGGCAGGAAAAAAATGTAGGCTGTACTACCTCCAATCTGAGGTTTTCAGTTCTGGGCGAATGTATGCTCTGATACTTAAAGAATGCGTTATTTTAAGAGACTCGTCGGAAATAAAAGAAAAACAACTTCACAATCTGCAATATGATAGATACACATCAGTCTCCCACGACTAAAGATGTTATTCCGTTGTCGAAGCACTTGACGCTCCTCGAGCTCTTTGTGACGTCTGCATGATGTCGTGCTTCCTGTCCTGCTTGAAAATGTATTTTGACTGATAAACACAAGTAAACATTATTATTATATATTTTTTTTTAATGATAGCTCCGAAATAACTGACGCGATATTTTAAGAATCTATTTACGTAAAATATTTTTCAGTTAATTTATTCACGCCAAATCTCCATGTCACCATAACGGTACAACTAGTTCATGCAAACATTGAAGCTGAGGTGGCGGTGGTTTGGTTCGTTTTACTTCCTGTAATCTGTGCACATTCAGCACAGAGCAAACTTGCTTGCATTTAATTTAAAACATATTCAAATGCAATACAAATAAGTGATCTGAAGTAAAAGTTTCCCATAGCATTGTTTTTTTTTTTATTTAACCCAGCGTTATGAAATATAATAACCAATTAAAATAAAGACATCAAAAGAAATCAACCACACAGTAGACAAAATCTCAAGGAAATCAGAAAGGAATAATGTAACCAAAAAGATTTTTATTATTCATAGAAATGTTCATATAAGCAGTTATTAAAAACATTCTTGCAAAACAAAATCAGGAAAATGAAATAAAAACAGCCAATTCTTTAAGGCTGTACTGCTAAGCTCCAGCCTGCAAGAGGAACAAGCTTACATTTCTTTTAAAAAAATCACCTTTATATTGTGAACAAAATCTTGAATTTCAAAATAAACAGCGTCTATTTGAAGAAGGCTGTCAAAGTCTTCTCTCGACCTCGTTTTCATGATGTGACTTAACGTTTCTCAAAGCATAGAAATGAATGCAAATAAATAAATGAGGTTGTGACAAGCTCTCGTCACGATTAACCTAACGTCTAACTTTCAGTCACAGATTGTAACAGCGATTTGCAAGTAAAACAGAATATGAAAACATCCCGTGTTTAACTTTCAGGAGGGAACTGGTGAAGTCTTGCTATAGAAACACATGGCGTCGGGTGGGATCTCTTTGGGAATGAACGCAGTCATGGAGCCTGTGCTGGCGATGTTACAACGGCACATGACTGAAGAGATACGAGACCGACTCGCCGTTGTGGGTCCTGCGGATGGCCTCGGCCAGGATTATGGAAATGTCGATAACCTGCAGAGATCAGATCATATCGTATCTGTTACAGCAGCTCGGTAGCATGTTAAAGACAGAACATCTGATGGCATCCGAAATGTATTTTAAAACATTTTAAATTACATTTCTTCTGTTTTAAAGGGTACAACGGAGCTAAAGGCGCACCGGGGTAAAAGGCACATCTGATTTTATTCCCTTTTAAACCACTAGATTGCACAAAAACTCGCCACAGCACGTTTGTTTCAGTACATGCAAATTTTGCTGATCCTCCACACAATCATGGGCAATTCTGTGCTAATCCGCTCAAATATTTAATGATAAAAAAAAAAAAAAAAAATTATAGATGTATGTAGCAAATAGGAATCGGTAAAATTACAATACATAATGACACAAGACTCTTGTTAATGATTTTTAGTTTTGTTGGTATAATGTGGCATTAATCAGGGCTTAAAAACAAAGAAAATTAAATCGGTTCACTCAGAGCAGAATCAGTATTTTAATGTTTCTGTTCATTGGTTCCTTCTGTAACAAAACCGTTCTGAAAACCGTTTGCTAAGAAAAAATACTGGTTAATAATAACCCTCAGTTGATCTGTTAATAACCCTCTGTTGATCTGTTAATAACCCTCAGTTGATCTGTTAATAACCCTCAGTTGATCTGTTAATAACCCTCAGTTGATCTGTTAATAACCCTCAGTTGATCTGTTAATAACCCTCTGTTGATCTGTTAATAACCCTGTGTTGATCTGTTAATAACCCTCAGTTGATCTGTTAATAACCCTCTGTTGATCTGTTAATAATCCTCTGTTGATCTGTTAATAATCCTCTGTTGATCTGTTAATAACCCTCTGTTGATCTGTTAATAACCCTCAGTTGATCTGTTAATAACCCTCTGTTGATCTGTTAATAACCCTGTGTTGATCTGTTAATAACCCTCTGTTGATCTGTTAATAACCCTGTGTTGATCTGTTAATATCTGTTAATAACCCTGTGTTGATCTGTTAATAACCCTGTGTTGATCTGTTAATAACCCTGTGTTGATCTGTTAATAACCCTGTGTTGATCTGTTAATAACCCTGTGTTGATCTGTTAATAACCCTCTGTTGATCTGATAATAACCCTCTGTTGATCTGTTAATAATCCTCTGTTGATCTGTTTATTAACCCTCTGTTGATCTGTTTATTAACCCTCTGTTGATCTGTTTATTAACCCTCTGTTGATTGTTAATAATCCTGTGTTGATCTGTTAATAACCCTCAGTTGATCTGTTAATAACCCTCTGTTGATCTGTTAATAACCCTCTGTTGATCTGTTAATAACCCTCTGTTGATCTGTTAATAACCCTCAGTTGATCTGTTAATAACCCTCAGTTGATCTGTTAATAACCCTCAGTTGATCTGTTAATAACCCTGTGTTGATCTGTTAATAACCCTGTGTTGATCTGTTAATAACCCTGTGTTGATCTGTTAATAACCCTCTGTTGATCTGTTAATAACCCTCTGTTGATCTGTTTATTAACCCTCTGTTGATCTGTTAATAACCCTCTGTTGATCTGTTAATAACCCTCTGTTGATCTGTTAATAACCCTGTGTTGATCTGTTAATAACCCTCTGTTGATCTGTTAATAACCCCCTGTTGATCTGTTAATAACCCTCTGTTGATCTGTTAATAACCCTCTGTTGATCTGTTAATAACCCTCTGTTGATCTGTTTATTAACCCTCTGTTGATCTGTTAATAACCCTCTGTTGATCTGTTAATAATCCTCTGTTGATCTGTTTATTAACCCTCTGTTGATCTGTTTATTAACCCTCTGTTGATCTGTTAATAACCCTCTGTTGATCTGTTAATAACCCTCTGTTGATCTGTTAATAACCCTCTGTTGATCTGTTAATAACCCTCTGTTGATCTGTTAATAACCCTCTGTTGATCTGTTAATAATCCTCTGTTGATCTGTTTATTAACCCTCTGTTGATCTGTTTATTAACCCTCTGTTGATCTGTTAATAATCCTGTGTTGATCTGTTAATAACCCTCTGTTGATCTGTTAATAACCCTCTGTTGATCTGTTTATTAACCCTCTGTTGATCTGTTAATAACCCTGTGTTGATCTGTTAATAACCCTGTGTTGATCTGTTAATAACCCTGTGTTGATCTGTTAATAACCCTGTGTTGATCTGTTAATAACCCTCTGTTGATCTGTTAATAACCCTGTGTTGATCTGTTAATAACCCTCTGTTGATCTGTTAATAACCCTCTGTTGATCTGTTAATAACCCTCTGTTGATCTGTTAATAACCCTCTGTTGTCCGTAGGCGGCGATAAAAAAAATACGGAAGTACAAACTGTAGATTTCACGGAAGCCCTGGATCTGTGCCTCGGATAACTTAAAATGCCCTTTTTGCTGACAAATAAACATGAATATTTTGGCCCAGGTAACTTCGGTATCCCTGTGTTACCCAAACGTTTAATGCATCTGTGTTTTTGACAGAAAAAAAAAAAAAAAAAAAAAAAAACTTTGTTTACATCTTCACCTTTGTTTAGACATTTAGCGGTTTTCTGACTAAATTATCCATTTGAAAAAAAAGAAAAAACACTGACGATTCAAAACTAAACTGAACTAAATTCAGTGCTTTGATTTGAATCAAAGATTTCTGGCACGACAAACCTGTATTTTGGGGCAGTGTTTCATCTTCTCCTCCTGAGGAATGGTATTGGTCACGACTACAGCCTCAAAGCAAGCGTTGTTGATGCGTGAAATGGCCGGTCCAGAGAAGATGCCATGGGTCAGGATGGCATACACTTTGACTGCACCAGCTGATATTAACCTTAATACAGAAAGAAAGAAAAAAACTCCATTAAACTCTGAAATTACACAAGAAAAACACAACTGAATGATGCAATAAATACTAAAACCATTGGAAACAGCCATGTTGTTTAAATTTTTAAATAATATATTGCTTTTAACTGTTTTTTTCCCTCCAAATTCTGACCAGAAAAGTATTCTGAACAGCATCTTCTATACAAATAACATGTTTTATTATTATTTATACTAGTTTCTTACTTATCCACAGCATGGCAGACGGTACCGCAGGTGTCTGCCATATCATCAACCAATATGGCCACCCGGTCTTTCACATCTCCAACCAGAACCATGCGGTCCACCTCATTTGCCTTTTTCCTTTCTTTGTGAATAAGGGCAAAGTCAACATTCAGCCTGTCTGCAATGGAGGTCACCCTGTCAATGGAAAAACAGCTCAGTCAGCAGTTACACACGATAAGAGCAAAACCAAACAGGCCATAATTCAGATGGCCGACAGACCTCTTGGCTCCTCCAGCGTCAGGTGACACGATAGTGCAGTTCTTCCATTCTGGGATATTTTCCCTAATCCATTTTAAAACGGCCGGCTCTGCATATAAATTGTCCACTGGAATGTCGAAAAAACCCTAAAAAAGGAAAACCAATTCAGATCTTTGAGCACGATTCCCACACCTTTTCGTGCATTCTGGTCATTTGTGATTACTGAAAAATAGTGTAGGGACAAAGACAGCGTCACTATATTTTTTTTGTTAATTGTTTTTTTTTTGACAGTCCACTTTAGACATGCTACTAACTACAAGTAACTTTGTGCCTACATGTCAACATACCAACCTAACAGTCTGCTAATACTCTGAGAGTTAGTTGACATGTAGTTGCAAAGGTACTTCTAGTTAGTAGCAGAGGGCTTGACATCAACTTTTTCACTCACCAGCCACTAGTGGCTGTCCAAAGTTACTAGCCATTCAGCATTTTGCTGGCCACAATTTTGACATCGATACCATGAAAAAAAAGAAGATATTTTTAATATTGTCTCATAATTTGGCAGCAGGTTTATTAGGCTGCTGTCTCACTTTAAGACATGACGCACGGATCCATTATATTGGAAGCGTTTCAGATATTTCAGTGTCGAGATGTATTTAAAAAATCTATATTTTTGACAACACTACATTGCACTTAGTTTATTGTTTCAGATGCCTTTTTAGAAAAATGTATACATACAAAATCCAACCCGCCAAAGTGGCTCGTAGGAGAGGCTGTGTAACACACCGCTGCTGAAATACACACACATTTGGCGGTTGGTGGGTGTTAATGTCAAGCCCTGGTTAGTAGAACGTCAACTATCGAAAAAAAGGACTAACCTTTTTTTCCCCTTAATCTCATTCCACACCAAAAAATCTAGGAAGTCGTGTGATCACTATAATCAGCACTTTTTTTCCCCTTTCAATTTTTATATCTAAAACACATGCAAGATTCTGCAGTTTGTTTGTTTTAACACTAAACGGATTTCAGCGCCATATAACCCCACCTGTATTTGTGATGCATGCAGATCCATGGTTATGATGTGGTCGGCACCGGAGACCGACAGCATGTTCGCCACCAACTTGGCAGAAATGGGTGCCCGACTCTGCAGAAGACAAAAGAGAAGATTTAGCGACACTTGACTGATTCATTAAAGTATGCAACCTACTTTCCAACAAACTACAAAACATTCTGCAAGCGTGTTCACAGGTTACATCACAAATAATGGCATTTAACCTTCACCCCACCTTATCCTTCTTGTCCTGCCGAGCGTAAGGGAAGCATGGGATGACCGCGGTGACTCGGCAGGCTGATGCGATTTTGCAGGCGTTTATCATAATCAGAAGCTCCATAAGATTATCATTAATTTCGCCACAGCCACTCTGGACAATGTAGACATCCTCCCCGCGGACACTCTCGCCAATCTCCACACTGCACACGACATCAGGGACATGAGGAGGGACAGGGCAGAGTTAGCAAAGCACCTCAGCTTATAGACCTGACCCAGATCAACGGTTACATTATACTACTGGAAAATGATCAATCACTTCAATGATGTATGCTAAGCTATGCTAAAAGTGGTACCGCCAGAACCGGAGATCGGCTGAATGGATTCAAAAACGGTAAAACTCAACAGTTTAACTCTGGGGGAGTTGTAAAATGAGCCTATTTCCAAAAAAAGTGGAGTATCCCTTTAAGTGAACGTAAACAGTTGAGAAAGGAAACGCACAAGTGTATTTGATCCGTGCAGTCGGTGTTAAAGTGACAGCATCCTAATAAACCTGCAGTCGTTATTAATGCCAATCAAACAACAAAAAAGAGAGAAACTCTCTCACTGCTCTTGACTGAATCACTTTTGTAATTTTTTAAATCAGGCCATGCTTAAAAATATTCTTGTTTGCCGTAACCCGACCGACCCTGTCAAATTAGGACCGACCCAATTATTTATTTTTTTCCCCTTTTAGTCCGACCGACTTGCCGGTTGTAAACTTGCATTAAGACCGACCGATTTTTTTTTTACTCTTCAAACAACTAATACAAATGCAATAAAATAATATACATTTATTATAGTAAGTATTGTGAATATAAATTGCGTAGGCTACGTTCTTTCTTTTAAATAAAAACCCGTGGCGTCATCTATTATGATTATGTTTACACCATTGGTTTACGCATGTCACACTATGGCCTGTGCGTTCGCTTCGTTTCATTCACTGTCAATGGTTCGCGCTCGGTGATGATGGCTGCGGCGCGGCTGCTTGTGAAATAAGTCTGTATGAGCCTACATTTAGTCGCTCATTATTCAAAATTCTTAATGGTCAAATAGGGAATCGATGTTAACGGCCTTTTCTCGGAGCCCGTCATGACATGCCCACCGCGAACGCGCGTCACACAGCAACTGCAGGCTCTGACAAACAAACACACATAAGTGTGGGAAGCCAAACACACCGAAAGGGGGACGAAACGGCGCGGTGTGTTACAGAGTTCGCGCTGCGCTGACTTGTAATCTGCGTGGCTCAATGGACCGAGACGCGCGAGCGCGACAGACTCGACAGCGCAGGAGAAGTGTTTGCTTGCGCCAGCCAATGGTCAGAGCGGCGCGAATTAATCTCACCAGCGCCGCGCTGACCAATAAAACAGCACATCCCATACCGAAATGTACTAAATTGCACAAAAGAAAATCGACCATTCCATAATATGTCAGGACTACTTAATCGGCCTATAGTTTCCTACAATGCGCCTAGCTATTTGACCACACTGATTTCCGTTAATAATAGCAGATGTTTATGGGTCAAATCTCTCACTCTCTCCCTGCAACTTTTTGTTACCCTCCTTTCCTGCCCCTAGACCAGAAAGGGGGCTTGTAACAGTATGGGTCAAATGTAAACGAATGGTGCCAAACGCGCTGTTTTATTGGTCGGCGCGGCGCTGGTGAGATTAGTCATTTTAATTTATTTGTTTCCCTCTGAAAATCCACTTTCATTGAAATCTAGTGGCTCCTTTTTTTCTTTTGATTCTGCCTATTTTTTTTCCAAATGAATGCAGCTGGAATTAATGCAATAAATATGTTTTTTTTTTACAAAGATTTCAAATTGTTTGTGGTCTATAACCTGTATCAGAATGAGGTTCGCAATGGTGCGCCCGAAGGCATGGGGGTTGAAGACCCAGTCAGTGACGTCACGATATGCAAATTTGTTTAAATTCATACCGACCTAATCACCATGACCAAAATTATCCTTTTTTTTTTTTACATTGAATCTTGAAAAAAAAAAATATATAGACCTACCTACCGACCCTTTTTTTTTTTTTTTTTGCTGTTACTGCAAACCAAAATATTTTTAAGGATGGCCTCACTTTTGTAAGACTATGCAGTGTTGTTTAATACATTTGATTACTTTATACAATTCAAATGTATGCATTTTCAGGTAGGTCTATTTCATGTGTCTTTTTTCTATTGTAGTTTGTTTTCCTATATGCTTGTAGTTAGTTTCTTTGTTCTTTCTTTATCAGTTTACTTTTCTTCAGAAAGATGATATATTTATATCTAGTATAATTATAGATAGTTCCAAACCTGTATGACTTTCTTTCTTGTACTGAACACACAAAGGACTCCATAGTAATTTGGAAGTCAATGGTGCCCATCAATGGTTTTTGTTCATCATATCCTTTAAAACATATTTTATGTTCAACAGAAGAAAGAAACTCGTAAAGGTTTGGAACAACTAAATTTGGTGAGTAAATGATACATTTTAATAAGTAAATTTTCTTTTTTGGGGGTGAACTATACCTTTAACGCTGTGAAGCAAAAAGTTTGGAGTATATCATAAGCTACATTGCCAAAAAAATATTGATAAAAACTGACATTACCATGTAACCGTGCGGTAACGTGTATGTAATCTGAATTAGGCCTAACGTTAGGTAACTTAATCACTAAGTATCGTCTTACATCTCAGCTACTGTATATCTGAAACCATCACTGAAACATAGTTCTTGTTTTGTAAAAGTAACGTTACACCGGGGCACGAACGCGTGCTATGAAATAAAACATTATTTTTCAATGTTTATCAGGGTTTCTGCAGGTTTCACAAAGTCAAATTTAAGACTTTTTAAGACCTTTAAGACCATTATGAATTAAATTTAAGACCTATATCACGACATAAAAAAAAGAACAGTACTGAAGGCAGCTTAGATGGATGCACAAAGCTGATTGGCTGTTGCATGTTGGTCTATTTTGTAGTCGTAATTAAAGTGAATTATATTTGGACTAGCGAAATAAGGAACTATAACACCACACGATAAAAAAACAAAAACATTCCAAAGCGCTGCGGGAGGACGTAGGAAAATTAAGACCTGTTTAAAATTATTTAAGACCTAGAACACAATACTTCAGCAAATTTAAGACTTTTTAAGGCCTTAAATTGTGATTTTGAAATTTTAGACTTTTTTAGCCTGTTTAAGACCCCGCGGAAACCCTGATTATAGCAAACCGATAAGCAGTGAATGTAAATACAGCGAGCTCAGGGATCTTTCACATGGAGTCAAAAAGCAGAAAAATAATGATTCCCCTACTACACGGATAAATGCAAATTACGGCCTTGTGACAACATGTGACCCACCAGACTATCATCGTGTCAAATGTAATTATATCGATCATGTGTGGAGCAATATAAGCGAAGCAGTCACAGAATGACTGAATGCTCTTGGTCTCAAGGTGCAAAAGCTCAACCGATACTAATATAATAGTCAATTCAACAGACGTTTAGTATTTAAGTAATATTTAATGGCAATATTAGTTACAAAACGTACGTTGAAACTGAAGCACCTCGCATGCAGACGCACAGTACTCTGGGAATAGTAGTCTTTTCAAACCCACGTGTGCCACTGGCGGTCTTTATCTGAACTACAACGCACAGCAGCCCGCGAGTAACGGCACTCCAACATGATAAACTAGCATATAACGTTAACCAGGTCATTTCCAGGAATAACTCACCTCGTCTCTTGGTTGCTAAACTTTTTCGTCACCACTTTCCCCAAATCCAGTCCGAGGCGGTCCGCGATCTTCTGGGATAGATCCTGGTGGGAGCTCCCGCTAAAAATTTTAATATTGGGCATTTTTGTTTGTTTGTTTGTTTTTTTAAGATCTCACAGGAAATTGAGTAGATCCCAATAAACAGAGAGAGGTGTAATTGTTGAGAGATTTTCTATCCGATGTCGATCCGAAAGTGCGAGTCGCCACTACCTCTCGGCCATTGTTGATCGCAGACGGAGCGCGCGTGACGTCACACTGCTGGCCACGCCTTCTTCTTCTGCTTCCATGTTGAGAAACTAGATAAACTGTATTATCGCCACCGACTGGACTGGAGTGTAAGGAAGGAAAACAAAACAAAAATAAAGAAATAAAAAAGTCTACATAGAATCAATTCTTAATGCGCATGTGAATGGCATCAGCGTTTATCACAGGTTCGCGTTTAAAGTCTGTTTAGAGAGAACGGTGTCGTCTAGCGGCCCCTAATTTAATAACAAATGATCATTTCAACGGAAGTGAATCAATCAAATCTAACTTCAGCTGAAAAAAAAAAAACATTATTCAAGAACCGCTATAAAAACCAAACCAATCTCTGTTACCTTAAATTATATTAGGTTTATCTCTGTAAAGCTGCTTTGAAACAATCTACATTGTTAAAAGCGCTATAATGAGGATGACTTGACTTGACAGCGCGTTCCTATGGCGACCGGTCGAGCGGGAGATCGTTTACCCAACGTGTTTACTTGTGAACACACGTAACACGTTTGTGTTTGTTTACCTTAGTTTAACTTCGTATGCTTCGATTGTATCCTCTAACTAGACCACATCTGATTATTGCAATGGCTGATTTAGTGAAGTTATGAAGTTATGAGCTGTGTATTATAGTTAAAGTAGCAGAGGTTATTAACAAACCGTGCATGCTTTGACGGCTAATTCGGAAAAGCACGAGATATTCCATATTATATATCCTATTAAAACAGTTTCATGAACAGACAATGTCTAATATATCATAGAAATACGCTTTACCAAATGCAGCGAAAACTGCAACCCTATCTTATTACTGTATTTTCACTTACAGTATACTGTACTTGAATTTACAGAATTTTTACTGTATTGTCATTTACGGTATTAGTACAGTTTATTTTCCTTTATTTAAAAATATATATATACACCCCACCCCCCAAAAATCACAATCACTCATGAATATTTGTCCTTATAATATTTTTAATAGTTGCACATTTTTCATTTTAGAAGTACAAATTACAAATCTTGACCTCTAGAAGCCAGTAGCTGAAGAAGAAAAAAAGGCATCATCACCAAAGTCCTTAGAATGAATCGTCTGACCATTTGTATCTGTAGAATGCAAAAAACGCACACACACTGAAAAGCAAAACAGACCTTAAAAAATAAAATACAATAAAAGTCAGTTTGTGTTACATTTTAGTAATTTTGCCAGTCAAAGTTGACAGGTTCTCTGATGAGAAACAGAGATTCAGGCTGATGCTTTTCTTTGGACCTTTCCAGATTTCCATCTGACCTGCATGTGCCTTTGGTACCATCAGGGTTGATTCTCAGAATGAACCTGCAAGCACAAGGGGGGGGGGGGGGGGGGGGGGGGATGCATTCTTTTTCAGACTGGTGTTGGCAGTGTTTGCCCAGTTAGGGCAAACTTGATTCGGATGAATCGACATTGCAGACGACATGATTCAGACCACGAACTTGAAAACAAAAACAGATGTAATTAACAATGGTGTTGGTTAAAGTGTTAGTTATTAATTTATTTCTTGTGCTGTATAAAAAAAAATATATATATTTAAAAAAAAACATGAATAACCAAATAGTTTCTGGTCCCCATTGTCTTCCATAGTATTTTTTTCCTCTCTATTATGAAAGTCAATGGGGACCAGCAACTGTTTCATTACCAACATTCTTAAAAATATCCTATTTTATGTTCAGGTTTAGAACAACTTGTAGGTGAGAAAATGATGACAACATTTTCTTTTTAAGGTTTACTATCCTTTAATTTAGTTTTCCTCAGTATTTTTCACGTTAGCTCACTGTTAGTGTTGTTACATCTGACTAACTAAGTTGTGATAAAGAGGGGACAGAACATACAAAAGCTATTATGCTTCTCTGTTTGGTAAGTTTACTTTGGCTAATTTAGGTGAGGTTAACCTATCACAACAGTTTCATAAAAATATATATAAATAAATGAATTCATTCATTTCCAAAGATATAAATCCAATATTTATTAAAATCTGTTTTTTTTTAAATGAAAGATTATTACAAAAAGTAAAAAAAATAACAATAATACATTTATTAATTTGGAGTGTTTTTTAATGGAATGTGTGAACATTGTTAGGCAATAAAATTAACAATAAAATAACAAAACTCATATATATATACACTCACCGGCCACTTTATTAGGTACACCTGTCCAACTGCTCGTTAACACTTAATTTCTAAGCAGCCAATCACATGGCGGCAACTCAGTGCATTTAGGCATGTAGACATGGTCAAGACAATCTCCTGCAGTTCAAACCGAGCATCAGTATGGGGAAGAAAGTTGATTTGAGTGACTTTGAACGTGGCATGATTGTTGGTGCCAGAAGGGCTGGTCTGAGTATTTCAGAAACTGCTAATCTACTGGGATTTTCACGCACAACCATCTCTAGGGTTTACAGAGAATGGTCCGAAAAAGAAAAAACATCCAGTGAGCGGCAGTTCTGTGGGCGGAAATGCCTTGTTGATGCCAGAGGTCAGAGGAGAATGGCCAGGACTGGTTCGAGCTGATAGAAGGGCAACAGTGACTGAAATAACTACTCGTTACAACCGAGGTATGCAGCAAAGCATTTGTGAAGCCACAACACGCACAACCTTGAGGCGGATGGGCTACAACAGCAGAAGACTCCACCGGGTACCACTCATCTCCACTACAAATAGGAAAAAGAGGCTACAATTTGCAAGAGCTCACCAAAATTGAACAGTTGAAGACTGGAAAAATGTTGCCTGGTCTGATGAGTCTCGATTTCTGTTGAGACATTCAGATGTTAGAGTCAGAATTTGGCGTAAACAGAATGAGAACATGGAACCATCATGCCTTGTTACCACTGTGCAGGCTGGTGGTGGTGGTGTAATGGTGTGGGGGATGTTTTCCTGGCACACTTTAGGCCCCTTAGTGCCAATTGGGCATCGTTTAAATGCCACGGCCTACCTGAGCATTGTTTCTGACCATGTCCATCCCTTTATGGCCACCATGTACCCATCCTCCGATGGCTACTTCCACCATGTCACAAAGCTCTAATCATTTCAAATTGGTTTCTTGAACATGACAATGAGTTCACTGTACTAAAATGGCCCCCACAGTCACCAGATCTCAACCCAATAGAGCATCTTTGGGATGTGGTGGAACGGGAGATTCGCATCATGGATGTGCAGCCGACAAATCTGCGGCAACTGTGTGATGCCATCATGTCAATATGGACCAAACTCCCTGAGGAATGCTTCCAGCACCTTGTTGAATCTATGCCACGAAGAATTGAGGCAGTTCTGAAGGCAAAAGGGGGTCCAACCCGTTACTAGCATGGGGTACCTAATAAAGTGGCCGGTGAGTGTATATATATATATATATATATATATATATATATATATATACATACTGTATATATACATATATAGTTATATTTTATATATTATATATATTTATTTAACTTTTTATATAACTTTGTTATTTTACGTTATTAAATAACAGATTAACAAAAAAATAACAAAAACTAGTTAAAATTATTAATTGTCAATTAAGACTATTGAATATCTCTCACACAAACATAGGGCCTACATAACACATATTTTAAACTTTTTTTAATATATAAAAATATAAATTATATTTATTTGCAACAGTTGCGTTAACAGCAATAGATAAGACATTTCTGTCTTTAAATCCCACCGGTCACAATAGTGACCGTAAAAAATGTTTCATTTCTAAGGCTATAAAAATGTACTGAATGATCTATCAGTGCATTCCCAACAGATATTGAAATAATAAAGGGTCTCAATGAAATATGTGTCAGTGTCACATGGTTTACTGTAAATTGTCACATGACCAGAGCTGTTTATTTCCTGTTTGTGCCAAGAGAAGAGGATGGCAGCAAGAAAGCTCCCAAAGAAAAGATCAGTAAAGCATGTTAACATAAAGATAGGACTTAGATTTTTGGTACACATCATGTTTAAGGTGTCTAGTATTGATATATGCATTTGCAATTACTCAACTTTGTTTAATGTGGTCATAGAACTTACAAACATGTCACCGGCAACAATAGTGACCGGTGGGGATAACCCATTGTATCTACATGCTAATACACATAGGCTAACTGTTCTACCTTACTTTCTGCTGCTACCTAACTTTCTACCTAATTTTACACACACACACACACACACACCACACACACGCACACACACGCACACACACGCACAACACGCACACACACACACACACACACACCAAAGACTAGCTA